AAAAAAAAAAAAAAAAAAGATCCTTAATGTATATCTACAAAGAGAATTTTGTTCCAAATAAGGTCACGTTCACAGGTTCCAGAGATTAGGATGTGGACATATCTTTTTGAGGACCACCATCTCATCTACTATAACCCCTTTGACAGTAGAGGCTCAGTAGGACCCTCTGGAGTCCCTGCAGATATCTGGGATCAATGGCCACTTGTTCTCAGCTGAACAGACCAAGCAGGCGCAGTCCTGGGTAGAGCATTGAGTATCCAGGCAGGTTGTGGAGGAGGCAGTCAGGGAAAACTTGCTGGAAGAAGTAGCGAGCTGAAGGCTGGTGCAAATGACCCACCTAAGAAAGAGGAAGAGGAGGACGTGCTATGTAGAAGCAGTGGTCTGTGTGCACACACTAGATGAGAAAAACAGGGGCACATGGTGGGGAAACTGAGGAAGCTCTGTACACAGCAAGAAAGGGAGGTGGACTGCAAGGTGAAGAAGATGGGGGGGCAGTAGAGAGGGTTTGGTATCAGGACCTCGTTTTCTGAGGGCCACAGACAGTTTTCAGCCACATTCATATTTGCAGAAGATCCCACTATCCCATATCTGCAGTGTAGTGACCAGACTGGAACCAGGGAGTTGGCCGCAGGCAGGGAGACCAGACACAGGCTGATGCCATGGTCCAGACAGAGCAATGACAGCTGAGGCATTTCGCTTGGATCCTGTCTACGACAGTGGTCCCCAATCTTTTCGGCACAGGGACCAGTTTCATGGGAATAGGGGATTTTTGGTTTGGGGATGATGCAAGTGTGTTATATCTCCACCTCAGGTCATCAGGCTTTGGATTCTCATAAAGAGCACACAACCAGGTCCCTCACATGTCCAGTTTACAGTAGAGTTCCCACTCCTATGAGAACTAATGGCACCACTGATCTGACAGGAGGTGGAGCTCAGGCCGTGATGCGAGTGATGGGGAGCAGCGGTAAATACAGACACAGCTCCACTCGCTTCTGCATAGTGTGGCCCAGTTCCTAACAGGTCAGCATCAGTGGCGGCCTGGGCGTTGGAGACTGCAGGTTTACAGGACAGGTCCAAACACCTCCATGTGTCCCCTTAGCAGCTGCTCTTCCTCTGGAGATAGCTCTTTGGTTTTACTTTGGGGAACTCCCTGCAGCCTTCTGTCAATCCAGATGTCCTACCATCCTCTAGCTGACCTGGGTCAAATTCACATGCTCCCCCTGGATTTTGAACCTTGAGCAAAGGGAGCTGGTGTTTTGTCGTCTCAACAGCATCTGCCCTGAAAAGATGACCTCGTGTCCTAAGCTCCTACTCCCCAGACCGCTAGAGGACCCCTAAACATCTGCTTCCTCAGGCCTCTTCCTGGGCCCTTTCTGTGGCTTATAACCAGTGCTCTCCCTCTCTTGCCCCTTCCACCCTGTCTCCAGCTGCTGAGCCCCTACTCCCTGTCCAAGATCTACCTCCAGTGTACCCCTTCAAGGCCCCCTCCCTGTCACCCCCACCCTGCCCCAGGCAGAATGAGTTCCTCCATTTCTGGACCCGACAGGCCCCTCTTCTGAGCATCAGTCATTTGAGCTTTTTGCTCTTCTTCCACTCCCATCATTTGGGGGTGCTCCCTGTAAGCTGGGACCAGTTCTTGCCCACCTTGGTCTCTCCAGTGCCCTGCCCTGCACTGACATATAGTGAAGGTTCACTCAGTGTTTGTTGAATGACTAAAAGAAGTCATTACTGCTCTGCGGCTGTCTTGTAGGTTCGGATTTCATACTATGGACCCAAGACCCCACCAGTCCAAGCTATGCTCTATCTCACTGGAGTGGGTAAGTGATGACCAGGATCCCAGAGTGCTACCCTCTCCCTCCACACCCTCCCGCCCTGCAAGTTGTTCTGTTTCTTCAGGAGAAATTACACCTGGAGTTTATTTAGACTGAGCAAAGGACAGTCTGTAGCTAGCCGCACATCTGGCAGTTCATAAATATGCCACTTCTAGTCAGTAAACCACAGGGAAATACAATGGGAGGGTGGTAGCGGCAGGGAGTTTAATTACATCTTAATATTCCATTTCTCAAGTTAGGAAGTGGGTACATGGATTTTCAATTTATGAATCTCTATACCTTTTGATTCTTCAAATATTTATAACAAAAATAGATGATGACACTATCTGATACAATAACATGGACAGCCTCCCCCAAATTTCATTATTTATATCTCATCTTCACCATTTTTACCATATTAATAATCTCTCTATACTCATATTGATTTAATATTCTTCTTTAAATAAAATCCATTTTTAACTTCAGCACATTTGAACAGTCATAGATTATTATTTAAATAAGTATTCAATACATAAATAGCATGTGAAATCTTCAGGTTTCCCTAATGAATTTTTTGATTAGTACATATTTAAATAACAATAATATTATACACTTACTCTATTGCCGGGCACTGTGCTAACACTTTATATGTAATCCTTACAACGATCAGTGAAATTGACATATTATAATCCCATTTTACAGATGGGAGAACCAAGGCACCAGAAGTAAACAGACTTCCCAAAGTCACACAACTGGTTAGTGGAGCAGGGAAGTCCAGGTGCTGTCCTGGCCCTACACTAATGCATGGCCTTGAATATGTTCATCTGGATCAATCTCACAGGGGACAAGCCTCACTCTTCATGCTGTGGGGCACACGGATCCACCTTACATATGTGCTGATGAGGGAGGAAGGATTTACAAACATGTATGCTTTCTCAGCCAGGCCATTTGGACAGAGCAGGGAATGTTTGAAGCCACTATTTGCCCCCAGATGCTCTCACAACATACTTAGTGAAGAGCAGGGTGGTACTGCATAAGCCAGGTGTCCCTCACCCTGAGGGCTGGAGCAGGGACCAGGGCCTGGCATCAGGGTGATCCTCCCACTAGGGTGGCTAGAGATTCTATCTGAAATCCCTGGGGGTGGCCAGACACAGGATCTGACTGGCATCACAGTCACGAAAGGAGAGCAGTGTGGTCAGAAGCCCCAGCTCTGCTGTCCAAATTGCAGCCAGATTTCTTGGCGGACATAGGGGTGAGGGTGTTGTTAACCTGTGTCTCTTTGAAGGAAAGGGAGAGAGTGGCTCCCGCCCTCGGTGCAGGGGTCAGGCTGGGTGTCCCCCACTCTGAATCCTCATCAACCTCCTTCTCTTACATGGTGGGATTTCAGAAATCTCCCTGTGTGCAGACACCAGCCGCACTGGCAAAGGGAAGCCTGCCAGAGCTGAGAAAGACCAGGTAAGGCTCGACCTTGACCAACACCCCAAACCCGCCTTTTAGTTAATAGTGGTTCCGCCGGCTTCTCCTAGAGCGCCCCCTGGTGGTGATGGAGTAAACGGCGGTCTGTGTCCTGTATCCGATGTGAACTTACCAAGTTTAAGACCCCTTGTGGAGTGGGTCCAAAGTGGGGAGAAGAATTACGGCTTCGGCAGTAGAACCTATCCCTCACGTCCCTCCCAAAATGCAGTCATTCCCCAAGGGCAAACGCTCTTCTGTAAAAGGAGGTGTCATCACTATTAGATTCCTATAGGCTGAGACTATTTAATTTGCTTTAATATTTGAGTAGATAGTACTTGGCTAAGAATAGTACCCACACTTTGGCGAGAGTAATTAAGAGTTCACAGGATAATAACTATTTAAATTAGAATCTTGACATACCTATTTAGCTCCATTTGATTTGTTAATCCAACATTTCTTAAAAGCTGTTAAAATAAATTTTGCTACCCTGGCTCCTTTTATAAAAAAAAAAAATGGATGAATTGTATTTTGGAGTGAACTTGGTTACGAATTTTGGAGTGAATTTGGTTATGAATTTTGGAGTGAAAGGCAAAAATCCACTCTTGGGACCAAAGAATTATTTGATGTGGGAGTGAGATGTGTAAATTTGCACAAGGTTAAAGAAATGGTAGGGGAAGTTGATCACGCTCTTTCCAAGAGTTGGAGGGATCCACGCTGGCTCCTAAGTGTGCCCCTTCTGTGATGTCTACAGAGAACCTGGACCTGGGGCCCTGGGGGTCAAGGTGCCATCCTGCTGGTGAACTGTGACAAAGACAACCCCAAATCTTCCACCATGGACTGTGAGGATGATAAGGTGTTTAATAACAAAGGTAAAGACCCTTTGAGAACTAATGGGAATAGGGTTTTTTCTTTTTTCTTTTTTAGAGCCTAAGTCTCAATTTGTCACCTAGGATGGAATGCAGTGGCACAATGATAGCTCACTGAAACCTCAAAATCCTGGGTTCAAGTGATCCCACCTGAGCTTCCTGAGTAGCTGGGACTATAGGCATACACCACCACATCTGGCTAATTTTTCTTATTTTTTGTTGAGACGAGGGTCTCACTGTGTTCCCCAGGCTGGTCTCCAACTCCTGACCTCAAGCAGTCTTCCTCCCTGGCATTACAGGCATGAGCCACCGTGCAGACTGGGCTTTGTCTTTTTATAAAGTCCTTTTGTCCCTGTGGCCTGAACCTTGTAACAACTCTGAAACAGGAGTGACTGAAAGTACGCTCCTGTTAGCCTGTCCATTTTATAGGTAAAGCAATAGAGAAAGGCCCTGAGAGGGCAAGTGACCTGCCCAAGGTCACACAGCAGTCAGAGAAGAGCTAAGACCCAGGCTGAGTATCCCGAGGTCTCCAACAGGCTTCGGTTTGCATGCCATGGCCAGCTGCCCATGCCAAACTCCTGCTCTTACGCCAAATTTTAACTCATTTTATCCTTCAACTGGAAGCTTCACAGATGGGGACACCAAGGCACAGAGAAGTTAAGCAATTTGCCCAAGGTCACACAGCTAATAAGTAACGCTCAGCATTTGAACTCCAGACGTCTTAAGACGGTTTAGGGGCACAAGGACAGTGGTAGGTACAGGGTCCCTGCAGGCATACATTTGGTCAGCTGAAGGGTAGCCCAGGGGAAGGACATATGACCTACCTGTACTAGAAGAGAGCGCTAAGGGACTAAGGCTGGCAGGCCTTCCTGGGGAGCTGCTAGAACAATATGGAGACTGACTCATTTTCAAATTGCATGCGGTTGGCCTCGCCCAATGCCAAGGGACAACCTCTGCACAGAGCTTGGCACCCAGTAATAACCAGAACAGCTGCCCTTTGTGGGGGCTTCCAGGGGACCAAGTATGGAAATAAGCACTGAATTTTTAGCACCTTGCCTTATCCTCACAGTAACCCTATGATGGGTCTTTCTCCTGTCTTACCTCTGAGGCACAGAGACACCAACAGCTGACATCATGTTCCCACGCTCACACAGATGCAGGGTTCAAATGAAGTACATCCCAGAGCCCTTAACCCCTGACCACTGGTTGGCCCATCAGAAACTATCGCTTCGGCCTCCCTCCACCTTTGTGGGGTGTTCCTCACGGTGGGTCACAAACGGCACTTCCTGCTCAGGACCAGCGTAGAGACCTGTCACTCGTTCCCTGCACACATCGTCATGGAGCACCTGTCCTGTGCTAGTCGTTCAGCACACTGCTCAGCTTTCCAGGTCCCAGAAGCAGGAACCCTGCAATGAGCAAAGTGACCCACCTAGGCCCCACCTTGCTGAGCTTATCTCCCCAGCGCATCCTCCTAGGGAGAAGATCAAAATCTTAATTAGCTTTCATTCCAGAATGAAAAGCATCATTCAAATACTGGAAATGGGCTGGGTGTGATGGCTCATGCCTATTATCCTGGTACTTTGGGAGACTGAGGGGAGAGAATTGCTTGAGGCCGGAAGTTTGAGACCAGTCTGGGCAACACAGCAAGACCCCATCTTGCACTAATTTAAAAATCAGGCAGGTGTAGTGGTGCATGCCTGTACTCCCAGCTACTTGGGAGACTGGGGCTGGAAGATCACCTGAGCCCAGGCATTAAAGGTTACAGTGAGCTATGATGACACCACTATACTCCAGCCTGGGCAACAGAGTGAGACCCTGTGTCAAACAGTCACTATGGACATATGATACTTACATACTAGAAATAGCATAAAGAAAAGAAAATCAGGCAATGTGGTAAGGGGAGACCCGAGGAGAGATAGGAGGTGGCTAAAGGGTGACCAACCAGCTGTGTCCTTCTTACCCCAGACCTACAGGACATGTCCTTGATGACCCTGAGCACAAAGACCCCTGGGGACTTCTTCACCAAGCACCAGATGGTGCTGCACGTGGACAAATCAGTGATGGACAAAGTGAGGGTGTTTCAGGCCACAGGTGAGTTGGCTTCAGCCTCATCTGTCCCACCTCTGATAGTTTCTCTGCTCCTGCCCAGTCTCTGGGGCACAGCCCTGTCACACTCCGCTAGGGCAAATAATTCCTGAGTACCTACCGTGTGCCAGGTTCCAAGAACAGGGGACACAACAGTGGGCAAGACAGATGACATCTCCTTCACTACTTAGACAAAACTCAAACCAAATCATGTGTGGTGCTGGGGGGTGCAGAGGGGGAAATAATCTTCCTTCTGAAGACTCTTACTGTTACTCTCTCTCTATCTCTCTTTCTCTCTCAGATACACGCACACATACACGATCTCTTGTTTACAAAGACCTTTTATCTTTTTAACGTTTAATTATAAAATATACACAAACTAAAATTCACCATTTTTAACTTTTTTCTTTTGAGACAGGGTCTCAAAAGTGACTCTGTCGGCTCGGCGCCTATAGCTCAACCGGCTAAGGCGCCAGCCACGTACACCTAAGGTGTCGGGTTCGAATCCCCAGCCCGGACCCGCCAAACAACGATGATGGCTGCAACCAAAAAATAGCCGGGCGTTGTGGCGGGCGCCTGTGGTCCCAGCTACTTGGGAGGCGGAGGCAGGAGACTCGCTTGAGCCCAGGAGTTGGAGGTTGCTGTGAGCTGTAATGCCACGGCACTCTGCCCAGGGGGACAGCTTGAGGCTCTGTCTCAAAAAAAAAAAAAAAAAAAAAAAAAAGTGACTCTGTCACTTGGGCTAGAGTACAGTGGCATGATCATAGCTTACAGCAACCTCACCCTCCCAAGTAGCTGAGACTATAGGTGTGCATTACCACACCCAGCTGATTGTTTTATTTCTTGTAGAGACAAGGTCTTGCTGTGTTGCCCGAGCTGGGCTCAAGCTCCTGCCTCAAGTGATCTTCTGCCTTAGCCTCCCACAGTGCTGGGATTCAGGGGCGAGCCACCTTGCCTGGCCCATGTTAGGTATTTTTCAGAGTACGGTACAGTGACATTTAGTACACTCACACAGTTGTGCCACCATCACCAGAAATATTTTTTCATGTTGTAAAGTTGAAATTTTGTACCCACTAAACACTAACTCCCCGCCTCCCCTTTCCCCAGCCCCTGGCAGCCATTCTGCCTTCTGTCTCTATAAATTTGACAACTTGAGGTACCTCGCACATAAGCGCAGTCCTACAGCATTTGTCCTCTTAGGAGTGGCTTAGGTAATTCACACTATGTCTTGAAGGTTCGTCCATGTGGTAGCATGTACCAGAATCGCCTTCCTTTTTAAGGCTGAATGTTCTGTCATATAATCACATTTTGACTAGCTATTGAATGAACACTCGCACAGCGCCCACCTTTGAGCTCTTGTGACTAATGCCGCGATGAACAGGGGTGTGCAAATATCTGCTGCTGAAGTTTCTGCTTTCAATTCTTTTGGAAGAATTGCTGGATCCTATGGTAATTTTACATTTCATTTTTCTTTGAGGGGTTAGGCATGTGTTTTTATAGTTTGCTTCTCCTCACTTAACATTGGCTCGTGAGCAGTTTTCCCCATTGCTTCATATCTATTCTTCTCGGATCAGGGTGACATCCTTCCAAACAGGCTGTCTCTCCACCTTGGAACCACCATCCGCAAACCCAGCAGCTCTTGGTCAGTCTAGAGCAATTTACAGGGCACCGCAGAATCCAGCGGCTCCCACACCCGCGCAGAGTCAGTCCTAGGAGAAGGAGGTTCCCTGATTGTAAATATCTCCTCCTTCCTTCTCCCCCTGCAGTGCAATTGTTTGCTGGATATTACAAAGGGCACAGAGAAGGAGATGGACAGGGCCAGGCATGCGGGAAGGGGCACAGAGCCTGAGCACCCTCCTGGGGGGCACTGCCCTCCAGGAACCTCCACCTGTTCCCTCAGGAAGCGCTACAGAGACTTTTGAATCCAGCTGACAGCATGTGTCATGTGACCATTTGTTCTGCGATGTCCTGCTGGTCAGAGACGTCTGTAACTTTTCAGTAGCCCTGAGGACCTGCTCCTGAGTGCCAGGCTCTGCTATAGGCAGAGGACAGAGTCAAAATGTAACCAAGTCCCCACCTCATCTCAGTGCTTAGAAGAATAGATAGGTAAAATAATTCAGTAAAACACCCCTTGTGTCACCTGTGGGAAATAACTCATAGAAGAATATAGCAGAGAAGGGAATGTGGAATGAGGCGTGGAGGTGAGGGGTGGCCCAGGAAGGTGCCCCCAAAAGGTGTCATTTGACCAGAAGGAGGTACAGCAAAAGCCATGCAGACACCCAGTGGAGGGGCATTACCAGGCAGTGGGAACAGCAAGTGCAAAGGCCCTGGGGTGGGATTGTGCCTATGGGTCAGGCCAATGTGACTGGAGTGGAGCGTGCAAGGGTTGAACTGGTAGATAAGGGTGGAGAAGGAAGGGCAGAGCAGAGGGGGCTGATCAGGTTTACATGTCTTGACCTTGGCTTCTAGACAGAGGGAGATGGGGGAGGCCATGGGAGGCCCTTTTGCAGAAGCCTGACTCTATCGGACTCACTTCCATTCTTAAAGTTGGAAGTTGGTGACTGACCAACTTCTTGCCTGCACCCAGGCATCACCTCCTCTAGGAAGCTCTCCAGTCTTTCTTCTATGACAGCACTTTTCACCGTGTTAGTTTGATGGTCTTTGCTCCTCCCAACTCACCCATAAGCCTGTGCACAACATGGTGGTGGGGGTGGGAGGACAGACAAACCTCCCACCCCTGCCCTCCGTGTCACAGGACATCTGGCTGGAGCAAATGCTTGGGAATTAAGTAATGAATGGTGGCTCTTGGACTCCCTGCAAAGCTGGGAATAGGTCGGCACCCCATCACGCCCTTCCCAGGCCTCCAGCCAGGGAGCAATGTCCCAGGTGGTGCTTTGGTCCCTTTTTCTTAAGGAGGGGGGCTGAGGCCAGATTGGGCTGCAATGTGCCCTCAGATGGTGACACATGGTGACCTTGGGAAAGGTATCCCAGCACTGAAAAGAAAAGTCTTCAGCTGTGGGGACACGGAGACCCGAGCCTTTCTGCCTCTCTCATAGCAGGCAAGCCGCCCTCCAGGTACAAGATGGTCCTGGGACCCAGGAAGTCCTCTCACCCCCTGCAGCTTAAAGGCGGCCAGCGCGACACAAACTTCTACGTGGAGGGCCTTGCTTTCCCAGATGCCGACTTCCCAGGGCTCATCTCCCTCACCGTCTCCCTGCTGGACACGTCCAACCTAGTAGGCCAAGAGGGCAGCCTAGAGCAGGGGGGCCTGGGCTTCCAGAAAGAGGCCTGGCTGGGGTGGGGGTGGGGAAAGAGAGCTGAGCTGGGTCAGGGGGCTCCAAATCACTGCCAGGAAGTGGTGGTGACCACCCCTCCACCATACCCTGCAGGAATCCCCCGAGACCTTGGTGTTCCAGGACAGCGTGGCCTTCCGCGTGGCCCCCTGGATCATGACGCCCAACACCCAGGCCCCACAGGAGGTGTTCGTGTGTAGGTGAGGGGCCTGGAGTGCTGGTGTGGGGCATAGATGCCTTAGGAGGAGCCCAAGTCCCTTCCACGGCACTCACTGTGAGAATGGGAAAGTCACCACCTCTTCCCTGACTCACTAAGAGCTTGCTGCTTATACTGGGCCACAAAAAGACAGGAGAAATTTGTTGTTGTCATTGTCACTGTCTCTCCCCAGCCCTGATGCAGGCTGAGGCCTACTGTGGCTCCCAGGGACCTATAGAGGTCGCTAGAACAGGAAGTCAAGGCCCATCAGCCCCTGCCCAGCCTTGCAGGGTTCCTTGGAGTGGGGCTGTGGACTTTGTACACCAGAAACTCCTGGAACGTGTTTAAAACGCATCTTCCGACAGGCAACCTCTGAGCAGCTGGGTCTTGTCCCTGGGCAGGGGGCCAATCTGTGTTTTAGGGAGGTCCAGGCATCCATGCTGCATTCTGGGGACCTCTGGTAGCATGACCTTGGCCAATGACCTCCCTACTCTGTCTTCTCCTTGGTGGAAGGGGTACCTGCCAGTCCTCACCTCATGGATTGTTACAAGGATTCAAAGAAATAAAACCAGCCAGGAGTCTCTGTCCAGGCCACAGGTGTTTCCTGTGTCCCTTCCCATCCTTCTAGACCTAAGCTCCAAAATCTTTCTAGGATTTTGAACAATGAGGACTTCCTGAAGTCAGTGATTACGCTGGCCAAGAAAGCCAAGTGCAAGCTGACCATCTGCCCAGAGGAGGAGAACCAGGATGACCAGTGGATGCAGGTAGGTGGCCCTCAGAGTGGGCAGAGTGAGTGGGAACCCAGGCTCCTGGGGCTCAGCCTAGTGCCTCGCTGGCCACACTTTCTTGGATGGACAGGGAGGTGGGAACTTCTGAGGGTCCTTGCAAAAGGGAGCTGAGCCCAGTGATTCATCAACATTTACTGTGGGCCCACTGTGGTCACCAACACAGAGGCCCCCTTCCTGCTCAAAGATTGTCATGTGGTCTTGGGACATGACCCAAACCTCAGAAGGCTGTTGCTCAACCAGTCCCTGCAGTGGTCTGTCTGCCACGCTGGCCTTCCTGGGCTTGGCCACCAGAGCAGGCCACACCTCTGCTCTGGCACTCTGCATGGCTGCCATCTGCTCCTGCTCAGCCTATGTCCAGGGCCCTCCTGACCTGGCCACCAAGCCAGTGACACTCTACTGCCATTCTCTGCCTCTGGGCCAGCACTGCATCACATCATGAGTGCCCCAAAACAGAGACTGGGGAGGTCTATGCAGCTCAGCACCTCAGTGCCTGGCACGGTGTGGCAGCGCCAGTGGGCAGGTGCTGGGCTGAAGCTGCACCTTCTTGCCACTCCCACCCTGCTCGGTGCTCCCACACCTTGACCCCTGCTGTGGCTTCTCCTGGACTAGCCTCCCTATTCCCTCTCCCACCTCTAAGTCTTACCTGGCAAATCCCAGCTTGAAGGCCCCCAAATTTCCCCAACCCTCCCCATGGGAATTATCCCTCTTGTGTCCACGCTGCCCCCCCCATAACATTCTCTCTTCCTTTCTCGTCACCCCATCTTTTTGGTACCAGGTTGAACTATGACATCGCTGACCTGTAAGCATGGGAATTCCCTCTAGTTCAGCCTACTCGTAGTGATTTGTCATGGTCCCTATGTCCAGCGTCACATCTGCCTGATAGAATATAAGGCCCTGGAGGGGGGATTTGCACCAGATTCATTTCTGAAAGCTCCCTGCAGCCCTCACCTTCACCCCATGACTTAGGCCAGGCCTTACCTGCCCTCTTTGGGGAAGAAGGCAGAGGGGGTCACCTTCACTCACTTCCAGGCCTCAGCTTAGTGGCTCTCCCACCAAGAGGTCCCCTCTGGACTATCCCAGCCTCATCGGGACCCCCTCCTCTGTGTCTCCTCACCACTTCCTAACACTGGGTGCTCACTGCCTCTTGAGAAACAGTGTTCTTGAGGATGGGGTCTAAGTTGCGCCCATTGGGGGGTCCCCAGCACCACCAGGAGGGGAGGGAAGGGCAGCCTCATAGCCTGCCATGTTCAGAGCAAACACAAGACAAGGAACTCTGCCTTCTCTGAGCCCTTCTCTGGCGTCAGATATCTCATAGAAACGTGCCCTTGACTGCAAGGCTGAGAGCACGAGGCTGGCCCCATGCCCCCCATCCTGGCACTGGGGGCCAACACCCAGGTGGTATAACAGTCCCCTCTCCCCTTGCCCTGCCCAGGATGAAATGGAGATCGGCTACATCCAAGCCCCACACAAAACCCTGCCTGTGGTCTTTGACTCCCCGAGGAACAGAGGCCTGAAGGAGTTTCCCGTCAAACGTGTGATGGTACCTCTCAGGGGTGGGGAGGGGGCAGGGATGCTGAAATCCCTAGGCCTTGAGGACTCTTTCCTGTGAGCCTGTCTCCTCCCCTACCCCCGGTAGCCAGGGAATACCTGCTAAAGAGGGATCATGCAGGCGGGGCTTGTTATTTTTGTTATTACTGAGATACGATCTGGCTCTTGATTTCCCAAAGTCCTTGTCACCCATGAGATCAGCTTGTCCTCAAGATCACCTTGCTGGGGAGGTCAGGCCTGGGCATCCTTGTGCTACTGAAAATGCTCTTGCTGCAAGGTGGGAGTGGGGCAAGGCCTGGGACCTTTCCCAATGCCCAGCTGGAGACTCTGTCTTTTGGGTAGGGTTTGGCCCTCAGGGGGTCCATCTGGGATGTGCAACGTGCAGCGTTTCAGGGCCAGTGGTCATTTCCTGGGTGTGACTTTATCAGCCAAAGTCTCTCCATGTGGGGGTGGAAAGTGACATATTGGTGAGTCGTGTATGACTAGCCTGGCAGGTTGATGCAAACTCAGCACAGAATAATAATAATAATAATAATAGTGACATTTATGGAGTCTGCATTCTGTGACAGTCAGTGCTAAGTTCTTTACGTGCACTGACTCATTTAATTTGATAACCTTACAGCACTGACTCACTTAATTTGATAACCTTTTATGGAGATGCTATCAATAGGCTCATTTTACAAATGAAGAAACGGAAGCTCCAAGTGAAGTTGATATTCAAACCAGGCCAGTCTGGCTCGGTGACCCCGCTCTCCCCTACCTGCCTACCTGCTTTCCCAGGAAGACCCCAGGCCTGCAATCTGGCCTCTGGCAACCCCTGGACTCAAGGTGCCCAGGAGAAAAGAAGGAAGAAATATGGGGTACAAGATTTCCTAGGGTGGCTCAGCGTCCATAGCACAGTGGTTATGGCAGTGTTCGAACCCAGCCTGGGCCAGCTAAACAACAATGACAACTGCAACAAAAAATGGCCAGGCATTGTGGTGGGTGCCTGTAGTCCCAGCTACTTGGGAGGCTAAGGCAAGAGAATCTCTGAAGCCCAAGAGTTTGAGGTTGCTATGAGCTGTGATACCACGGCACTCTACCAAGGGCAACATAGTGAGACTCTGTCTCAAAAAAAAAAAAAAAAAAGATTTCCTAGGGTGATGGGTTTCCCATGAGCATTTGTGTCCCAAGGGAAGGGAAGTGGCCTTGGCTGCATAAGAAGCCTTAGAATGACACTTCGGTTTAATGCAACAACTTGTCCCATTTGCTCCCAGCCGAGCCCCACGCTGAGCAGTTGAGAGGCAGAAATTCTGCTGGGTAAATCAGCCAGCTGCTGTTATGACTGCCTCTTCTCTCCAGCTTCAGTCTTACATTGTTTAAGGCTGTGTCCCTGACTTTGATCCTCCAAGTATGATAAAGGCGAGATTCTCTGATGTCACAAGTCCTGTTGGACAGATAGACATCTCAGGCGTCTTCAACCTCAGGTGGGAGCAGGCCGCAGTGTACAAGGCTAAACACATCTGCTTATTCTGTCTCAAATTGCTCAGAATGGAAAGAATTAGAGTGAAAGTCAAACTCGTCACCACCTGCTTCCCCAGCATCACTGTGGGCCACTCTCTCCCTGTCCCTTACTCAGTCCCATACCCACTGGGCAACTTCCTATTCTTCAAATTTGCCCCGATTTTCCTAACCTCATAGCCTTTGCACATACCCTTCCCTCTGCCTGGCATGCTCTTCCCTCAACCTTCAGCTGTCAGCATCCACGCCGTCCTCAGAGAGACCTCGCCCTGGCCCCAGCCTTCCCGACCACACCACACTGATGGTTCCTTCCAGAGTATTTTGTTATAAGTCATGGACCTATACACTTACTTTTCATTGCCTGCCTGCAACACCTTTCCAGCTTCGTGCCTTGAATCTGTGTCCCCTAGCATCTGTGAACATCCCTGTACTTAACCATCTTGGTGAGCCACTTCTGCAAACAACAGACACTCATTCATTTGCCTGCAGAAATCCAAACTCAAAGTCTATAACTGGCTCCCTGTCATGGTGACAGCCAGAGCAGTGATGTGTATGAATTTATCATTCATTCATCAAACGTTCTTCGAATGTATGCTCTGTGCCAGGCGAGCCCTGTTCTAGGTGCTTGACACAGATCAGTGAGCAATGACAAGGTCCCTGATCTCATGGAGGTGACATTCTGGCCCAGAGAGACAGTAAACAAAAAATATAACAAAATAGTTATATGTTGGAAGGTAGTGTCAGGAGTTACAGGGGTAAACAGAAGAGAGGAGGATCTAGGGGCTCACAAATGCCAGAGTGGTGATGGGGAGGGCAGGGAGGATTAAACGGAATCTTTTTTTGTTGCAGTTTTTGGCCAGGACTGGGTTTGAACCCACCACCTCCAGCATATGGGGCCAGTGCCCTACTCCTTTGAGCCACAGGCACTGCCCTAAACTGGAATCTTAAACAGAACAGTCAGGGTAGGCCTCAGTGGGAAGCTGACATGAGAGCAAAAATGTGAAGGAGGTGAGGGAGGGGCCATGTGGATGTTGGGGGAAGAGGCTTTTAGGCAGAGGGAACAGCCGGTGCAAAGGCCCTGAGGCAGGTGTTCAGAGAGCAGCAAGGGGGCTGGAAGGGCTGGAGCAGAACACACCAGCAGGAGGGGTAGGAGAGGTGATCAGAGAGGTGGTGGCAGGGGACGGGATGGAATTGGAGGACAGATTGTGTGGGCTTCTTGTCCACTGTAAGGCCACTCATTTAAAATCTGATTTATGTTATAAAAGGGACCAAGCTCTGGCTGCGTGTCAAGGACAGATAGCAGAGCAAAGACAGGAGTAGGAGGGTGACTCAGTGAGGGATGCTGAGGGCTCAGACAGGATGTGCAGGGAGGAGGCAAGAAGCAGTCAAATTCTGGATGCGTCTGGAGGGCAAGGCCAGCAGGATTTCCTGACCACTGTGAGAGAGAGAGAGAGAGACAAGCCACAGGTGATGTCAAGGCTGTGAACTCTGTGAGTGGCAGGTGCCATCCCAGAGAAGGTGGGACTGTGGGAGGAGAGATGGGCTGATGGGAGCAGGAAGTGAGGAACTGTGGTTCTGTTTGGGGCAAGTGGAAGATATTCAGTCAGCATCTAATCAGGAAATAGGGCGCACATGGGTATGTGTCTAATGTATGGGAGAAAAGGGAAGACGGGAGATAGAAATGTCAGTGCTGTCAGATCTCGGGTGGAATTTCCTGAGCCCCCAGAGACCCAAAGGGACAAGGGAGGTAGGAGGTGAAGCAAGAGCACCAAGTGCAGAAAACATGGGCGTGCCTGGCTGATTCAGAGGCTGCTGGGGGAAGATGAGGCCAGGCGTTGCCCACCAGCCTCAGCTGCATGGTCAGGACAACCTGAACAAGAAAAGTTAGACAGGCAGTGGGCGGAAGGCAGGTCAGCATGGGTTGTAGAGAGAAAGGGATGGCAAGGAATTGGAAATGTGGTTTTAAAATTCATGGAATCACAGACCAGCCACCTTCCTAGAAACTCGCGCTGGGACGCAATTTAGAAGCTTTTCTCAGGGAGCCTGCGGCCCCTTCCAAGTCCCAGCAGGACCACCCATGTGTAGGCCAGATCTAGAGGTGCAGATTCTCCTGGGGGGCCGGGCGTAATGGCCCCACCACATCCTAATCCCCAGAACTCAGTGTTTCCATATATGACCAAAGGGACTTCGCAAATGTGATGTAGGTGGCAATTATGCTGGGTTACCTAGGTGGATTCTCATAACATCATAACCCTCCTTCACAGAGGGGGAGGTGAGTCAGTGGAGAGTAGGGGTGTGACAGCGGAAGCAGGGATTGGAGAAATGTTCTTTGAAGATGGAGGAAGAGGCCACCAGCCAGTGGCTGCTAGAAGCTGAGAAAGGCAAGGAGACGGACTGTTCTTCAGCGCCCCCTACAGGAACCAGCCCCACTGTGCCTTGACTCCAGAAGCTGACTTCAGAAGATGCTGGCCTCCAGGGCGGTGCCTGTGGCTCTAAGGAGTAGGATGCTGGCCCCATATGCCAGAGGTGGTGGGTTCAAACATGGCCCTGGCAAAAAAAAAAAAAACACCTGCCGATGCTGGCCTCCAGAATGTTAAGAGAACAGCTATGCCACTAAGTTGGTGGCAATTTATTGTAGCAGCTATGGAACCTCACACCGGGGCAGAGAGATGTGTCACCCACTCCTCTGATGAAGAGCCAAGTGGGGACGTCGCAGCCTGTCCATGAAGTTCATTCTGGCCTAAGATCAGGATGCAGGCTGTAGAGACAGCCCAAACCCTAGTCCTTCTGCAGACTGGCCATGAACCTGACCGAGGAAGCCATGTCACTATTCTGAGCCTAGTTTCCTCATCTACAAAACGAGGATAAAAATGATATTTTATGGCTTTGTTATTATGTCTAAGTTAAGGTTTACCAGGCAGCTGGCATGAGTTGGAGACACAACAAATGTCAGTCCCTTTACTTGCCCATAGAATCAATTCAACACCCCACAAATAATAACCATACCTGCGAGGTACCAGCTGCTGACAGTTACTGAATTCCTTCACCTTTAACCCTGGACCCCCCTATCTCTATGCCTAGGGACTAATTCCTATAACTCTTAGTATACATTTCTCCCATCCCAGGGTCCGGACTTTGGCTACGTGACTCGAGGGCCCCAAACAGGGGAGATCACAGGGCTCGACTCTTTTGGGAATCTGGAAGTGAGCCCCCCAGTCACAGTTGGGGAGAAAGAGTACCCGCTGGGCAGGATACTCATTGGGAACAGCAGCTACCCTAGGTAAGGCAGGTTGGGGCAGGAAGGGGTGGCCAGGACCCAGGGATGTCGTGGAAAAGCAGAGGCCAGAGCAGAAGCCCCCAATTGGCTCTCAACAAACTTCAGAGAGCGTGGGAGGAATCAAAGTGTAGGGCAAAGGATGTGGGATTTGCAGCCAGTGGACCCAAGTTCAAAACCCAGCTCTGCCAATTACCCTCATGAATATTCATTAAGCCTCTACTATGTGCTGAGAACCAGAAATGCCACTGTGAACATGAAAGGCAAGTCCTATCTCTATTCTAGAGGTGGAGACAGACGATAAAATTATAAACAAATAAAATAATGTTAAATGATTTAGTTTAGTTAAAACTAAAAAGAGAGAGCAGACGAGGAATAGGAACTGGTAGGGTGATCCCAGAGGGCTGCTCTGGGGAAGGGGCTTTTGAGCTGAGGCCTAATGACAAGAAGGGCATGGGCACATGGAAATCTGGCAGCTGAAAGAGCAGGTGCAAAGGCCCTGAGGCAGGAATGAACTTGTGTGTTTAAGAAGGCCAGGGCAGCTGGAACAGTTAGAGCAAGAGAGACGGCAAGGGGCTAGATCACAAAGGACCTTGTAGGAAAACACCAAGGCTCAGACAGGTGAAGGAATGTCCTCAAAGCCACACGGCTAATAAGAGATCACCAACACAGTCTAACCGGCTCCGAACCCATGTTTACCCATAGCACTAGCATCTAGTCTAATTCAACAGGCCCTGAGGGCCTGAATGCCTCATTCTAGTGACTGAATGCCTCAGTTTCTCCCCATTAAAACTAGAATGGCACTTCCTGAATTTCTGAAATGTAAGGGGATATGACAAGGGTATTAGTGAGTCCCTTCCCCAACTGACGAGTCCTGATGCCTTTGCCTAGCCCTCAGACCCCCAGAGACCTCCCAGTTGCCCTCTCCGCCCAGTGACACCCCGTGCACCCTGCCTTGGCAGAGATGACAGCCGGGAGATGCACCAGGCCCTGCAGGACTTCCTCAATGCCCAGCGCGTGCAGGCCCCAGTGAAACTCTATTCCGACTGGCTGGATGTGGGCCACGTGGACGAGTTCCTGAGCTTTGTTCCCGCACCCGACAGGAAGGTACAGTCTGGGGGCTGCCTGAAGGAAGCCACGGCTCCTTTCTGGGTCCCAAGTACAACTTTGCCTTCTGCCTGGGGCGGGAGTTTGCCTTACATCCTGATTCTCCCAGGCTGGGGAGAGTTGTAGGGGGACAGACAGAGGAGGAAGCCAGCCTGGGTCCAGGTCCGCAGTCCTCCCATCCTCAGCAGAGCCCCTCCTGGCTTGGGAGCCCCAGGGCAAAGCTGACCTCTAACCCCAGTGTTTCTGCCTCCAGGGCTTCCGCTTGCTCCTGGCCAGCCCCAGGTCCTGCTACAAACTGTTCCAGGAGCTGCAGAAGGAGGGCCATGGGGACGCCATGCTGTTCGAAGGACTCACTAGTAAGCAAGCCCACCTTGTGGTATCTGGGCACCTTCCTCTGTGGTCTCTCAGTACCAGATGGAACATCCAGGCCACAGATGTCTCCTGAGCACCTGCTGTGCCCCCAGCACCATGCACCGGGCTGGGGATACTCCCTGAACAGGGCAGAATAGCTTGCTGCCCTCTGCGCTCACAGTTCAGGGGGAAGTGGGCCAATGAAAACAGCTTCAAAGCAGGGGTTTTGGAGGTGTCTGGGTAGAGATCAGGGAAGGCTTCCTGGAGGAGGCAAGGCCAAGCAGGGAGCATGAAGGACAAGCAGGAACCAGCGAGGCAAACGGGGCAGCGAGGTGTGAGGCCAGGAGATCCTGGAGGCAGAGGGAACAGTAAACACAAAGGCTCAGAGGCAGGAGAAAAGCACGATGTGTTTGAGGACCTAGGGACAAGTTCAGTCTGGTTGGAACACAGACGAAGATGCTACTGTTTCGCTAAAGTTCACAGACGTGGGCCAGGGTCAAGGTGGAGAAGCCTTCACGGCTGTTTCTACCTAATATGTGGGGTGTATGTGGCCTCAGGCAATGCGCAGACCGTTTCTTCCCCTTTCAGGGGGATCTCTTTGGAGATAAGAGGATTTAAGGGAGAACATTTTTTTTTTTTTTTTGAGACGGAGCCTCAAGCTATCCCCCTGGGTAGAGTACCGTGGCATCACAGCTCACAGCAACCTCCAACTCCTGGGCTCAAGCAAGTCTCCTGCCTCCACCT